AGGGCACTCTTTCTAGACTATTTTACCACGATGCTGACCGCAGATCACTTTTCCTGGACAATTTCACCACAATGTTGACTGCAGGGCACTCTTCCTGGACAATTTCACCACAATGCTGACTGCAGGGCACCCTTCCTGGACTATTTCACCATGATGCCTACTGGAGGGCACTCTTCCTGGACAATTTCACCACAATGCTGACTGCAGGGCACTCTTCCTGGACAATTTCACCACGATGCTGACTGCAGGGCACCCTTCCTGGACTATTTCACCACAATGCCTACTGGAGGGCACTCTTCCTGGACTATTTCACCACAATGCTGACCACAGGGCACTCTTCCTGGACTATTTCACCACGATGCTGACTGCAGGGCACCCTTCCTGGACTATTTCACCACGATGCTGTCTGCAGGGCACCCTTCCTGGACTATTTCACCATGATGCTGTCTGCAGGGCACTCTTCCTGGACTATTTCACTGTGATCATTAATGCAGGGCAGTCTTCCCTGACTGCTTCACTGCAATGCTGATTGCAGGACACTTTTCTGTTTGGCATTATTATGGAAATGGGATATGACTAGGAATAATGATCGATAGTAATCTCTTCTTCCTGTTCCAGCTGGAATTCCTGCTCCTATTTACTTTGGAGCTTTGATTGACAAAACCTGCCTGAAATGGGGAATCAGCAGATGTGGGGGACGAGGGGCCTGTAGGATCTACAACTCTGATGCTTTCAGGTAAGAATCATATGCTCCTACACAGCACTCCTCGGGACAGTACACCCTTGCCTCTGAACTCATTTCCCTCCCTCTCCCCAGGCATCGTGCATCCCTATCTGAGCAGCCTCAACACTCACACTCTCAAAACTGCGATGAAACAGAATAGAAATTTATTATCATATGGATTTTTACATGAAAAATATGTAAAAGTCGCTCCACTACAGTGCCTACATCAATGATAAAAGTCATGCATAATAATTAAAAAAAGTAAAATTAATACAAAGTTCATCACAGTTCAGTTAACCTGGATTCGGTGAAAGCTGATTTAAGAATGATTGAAATAACCTGAAGATGTAGCTAGGACAAGACGACAATGCCAGGCCGCTCAGTAGTAGGCCGGAAGCCTCCGCTGAAGAAGACTGCCAGGCTGGGACAAGACTGCCACTCCTGGATGAGACTACCTTGTCCAGAGGAAGAGTGCAAGCAGCCGTAGCCTCTCACCTAGCCATGGCTGGAGCTCTTCAGTTTCATTGATAAAAGCCTCCTCGGTCTCAGTTTCATGATGCTGCCTGTAGGGCACCCTTCCCGGACTATTTCACCATGATGCTGACTGTAGGGCACTCCTCCCAGACTATTTCACCACGATGCTGATTGTAGGGCACTCTTCCTGGACTATTTCACCACGATGCTGACCGCAGGGCACTCTTCCTGGACTATTTCACTGTGATAATTAATGCAGGGCAGTCTTCCCTGACTACTTCACTGCAATGCTGATTGCAGGACACTTTTCACTTTCACTGAAGAAGCATGGACTAGTAGATGTTTACAGCACAGAAGGAGGGCATTCAGCCCATTGTGTCTGCAATAACTCCAGGTCAGTATACCTGGATGCCAAAGACGAGGAAGACCCCTACATGGAGACAAGACCTCCCAGCCACGACAAGACTGCCCCACTGGGAGACCGTCGCACAGGGAGACCGCAACACCGGCCTATACTATTCTATAATAGTCAATACTATTGCCCTATCACACCCTTTCCACACAGTCCTCTCTTCACAAAAGTTTAGCTTCCCTCTTCTCCATGTGTTCACAACACTGGATTTTGTTGCCTTAAGGGAGAAGAGGGTACGTATTATTCAGGAGAGTCAGAGCGCCAGGTTGGGGACAGGTGATGAGCATCTTGAGAGCCTTTGACGGTGCCTGCCCATGTGATCTATCAGGAAGGAGTCCTCATTTCAGGGAGACTCCCGATGTCAGCAGTGACCTTCCTTGACAACCCACGGCTCCTGATACCCAACTTGAGGGAGCCAGTCATCGATTTTGTTTTTGTTTTGGCTCTGCGTTGGGGATCTCCTTTCCTCCCAGCCGAATCTGTGTCCATCTTTCTGTTATGTGGTGTGGAATGTGACTGAGGAAAAGGTAGTTGCTGGTGCCTTTGTTCCTCATTAATGTTGTAACGTTATTCTGCACCATCTGCTGCCATGACAGTAGGGAAGCACAGCACAAGGTGCATGAAGACGAAGACAGGGAAAAGTGGCTGACAATTCAGAATTCAGAAGATTGAGGGGGGATCTTATAGAAACATATAAAATTATGAAGGGAATAGATAAGATAGAAGTAGAGAGGATGTTTCCACTGGCAGGTGAAGCTAGGACAAGAGGGCATAGCCTCAAGATTAGAGGGAGCAGATTTAGGACTGAACTAAGAAGGAATTTCTTCACCCAGAGGGTGGGATTCAGTGATGGTAACACCTCTGCATGTCAAAGGGCAGTGGTTGGATTGTCTCTTATTGGAGATGGTCATTGCTTGGCATTTGTGTGGTATAGGGGAGGCAATGGCCTAGTGGTATTATTGCTGGACTGTTAATCCAGTGACCCAGATAACATTCTGGGGACCTGGGTTTGAATCCTGCCACGGTAGATGGTGGAATTTGAATTCAATAAAAGTATCTGGAATTAAGAATCTAATGATGACCATGAATTCATTGTTGATTGTCAGAAAAGCCCATCTGGTTCACTAATGTCCTTTATGGAAAGAAACTGCCTTCTTTACCTGGTCTGGACAACATGTGACTCCAGACCCACAGCAATGTGGTTGGCTCTGAACTGCCCTCTGAGCAATTAGGGATGGACAATAAATGCTGCCTAGCCAGCAACATCCTCATCCCATTAATGAATAAAGAAAGAAAAATGTTACTTGCCACTTGTCAGCCTAAGCCTGGACATTGTCCTTATCTTGTTGAATTTGAGCATGGACTGCTTCAGTATCTGAGGAGTCATATGGAGTCCAGAATGGGTGAGATTGGCAGCATTCTTTCTTAAGGACGTTGATGAAACAGTTGAGTTTTTATGAGAATCCAAACTTTTCATTATTAGCATTAATGGGACTAGCACTTTATTCCAAATTATTAATTGATTGCATTCAAGTTCCCTCAATTGACATGGTACTATTTGAAACTGCAACTCTGGAGTTTTAGTTAAGGTCTGTGCATCGATAGCCTAAGAACATCATCGCTCTGCCATCAGTCAGAGTTATTAAGCAAGGAAACAGAGCCTTCAGTCCAGCTCGTCCAGGCCGACCAGATGAACTAAACTGATCTAGTTCCATTTGCCAGCATTTTGCCCATATCTTTCTAAACCCTGCCTGTTTATGTACCTGTCCAAGTGCCTTTCAAATATTGTAATTGTACCCACCTTCTCCACTTCCTCTAGCAGCTCATTCCATACACGCATCAAACTCTGGGTGAAAAAGCTGCCCCTCGGATCCCAAATCAATCTTTCTCTTCTCACCTTGAACCTATTTGCTGTAGTTTTGGACACCCCTACCCTGGGAAAAAGACCTTGGTAATTCACCGTATCCATGCCCCTCATGATTTTATAAACCTCTATAAGGTCACCCCTCAGCCTCCGACACTCCAGGGGAAAACAATGCCCCATCCTATTCTGACTCTCCATCTAGCTCAAACCCTCTTATGGCTTGACACAAACCACAAGACATCTCTCTGCGTTTTATAGATACTGGTAATGATGGATGATGTTAGATATTAAACAATGTCACTTTTTGGAGATTTAGCACCCTGCCCACACCCAAACCCACTTCCCCACATGAGTTAAGATTCTGTCCCTATGCGATTTAATGCCTTGTTTTGTATTGTCCCGTTCTATACAGGCATATCTTTCTGGGCTTACGAGTGTCAATGCGTGGAGTTGGCCTGCTGGTGTTTTTTATTATCTTACTGCAATTGAAAAAACAGTTTCTGGCTAAGATCCCAAACCCAGAGACTAAGTGTGGCACTGAAATGATGTCCCAACAGGACAAGGACCAAATGTCTGACAATGGAGACCTCACAGTCAAAACAGCCAACAGTGACCCAGACAAAGAATCAAATGCTTGAGAAAGAACTTTATTACCATGTGTAAAGAGAAAGTCAGAGTATTGTCAATTTTTGAGTCAAACATTTTAAGAAAGCAAATTTTTTTTAAAATTAAAATCTAAGAACCATGATTTTTGAAAAGAATTTGCCTAGATTTATATTAAATTGTCAACTAGCTGTGCTTTTAAATAAATGTCTGAGGAGGGAATAAAGTTGTTTAAGAGACCAAGTATTTTTCACTGTGATTTTTCTCAATGAATTATTGTGTCTGTGACAAACACTTTTTTTTAAAAAACTGTTACCAGACTCGAATTTGGGATCTTTCCTTTGTCAATAGTTCAAAACTGGTGCTCAGCTAGTCATCAGCTCCCAGTGTACCACAAATGGTTTTACTTGCCATAGAAAATGTGGCATGTTCTAAAGTGTCCCACAGATTCACCCCGTGTTTGCAAGCTACTAGACTCAGGTACTTGGTTGAATGCAAACTGTTGTCTTTGAATGTTTTTACTCAACATTGTAGATCATGGACCAACGTTGCATTGTTAGGCTTCACAAAGCTAACTGATGCTTGTCCCGAATCCTTAATTATTTGACATATTTTAGGTCACAGTATTTCTATATGTTGCCTCAGGGCAACCTCATTTGGATGTTTTCTGTCAATTGAATCCTGGCATGTTATTATACATAGCCACTAGAAATGCAAGTTGGCAGATCATTTAATTGGAAAGATCTACTTTTGATGTTTAGCAACTTTGCAGGCACATCTCACCCTTTATGACAGCACTTAGTGGCAGAGTCCAGTAACAGTTAGCTCCTGCCATTTGCCAGACAGAATGGAGAAAATTGGATGATGACGTGAAAAGTGGAAGTTGCCTTGGTCCCAAAGGGCCATACTCTCATCAGAGACAGATGACTGATGGGCTCTGATAACTACTTTGGGTTGGTCATTCAAAATACTTTATCTTTGCATTGTTATTAATTTGTTAAATTTTAAAAAAAATTCCTGAAATCATTCTTTTTTTTCTGGGTGGCACGGTGGCTCAGTTGTTAGCACCGCTGCCTCACAGTGCCAGGGACCCGGGTTTGATTCCATCTTTCAGGTGACTGTCTGTGTGGAGTTTACACGTTCTCTCTTTTTCTGCGTGGGTTTCCTCCGGGTGCTCCGGTTTCCTCCCAGAGTCCAAAGATGTGCAGGCCAGTTGGTTTGGCTATGGCTAAATTGCCCATAGTGTCCAGGGATGTGCAGTCTAGATGTATTAGCCATGAGAAAATGCAGGCTTACAGGAATAGAATGGTGGGGGTGGGTGGGGGTGGGTGGGTCTGGGTGGGATGCCCTTTGGATGTTTGGTGTCAACTCAATGGGCCGAATGGCTTGCTTCCACACTGTACGGATTCTACCATTAATTGGTCTCCATTTTAAAGATGCTTAAACCATGTCTACTAAATTTGTTCTTGTAGTTTAGGAACGTAATCACAGGTGATATAGTGAAACAGATTAAAGAAATGGTGGAAATAGTTGTCTTGAGCTTGGTATCCATTGAGTTTGGACGGGGAAGGGGAATACGGGTGGCAATCATTGTAAGAGATGTCAATAGTAATATTGAATGTAATTATCTTCTAATCATCTAGTAAAGGATTTTAAAAAACAAGTAACTTTCCTGTGAAATAAGAGTGCACAGTTATATAGATTAGCACAGACCTTCCTGTACAGCCACAGGGCATTCAGTTCAGCTGGTATGTAATGGTATTTATGGTCCACATGAACTTCCTCCTTCATCAAACACTATCAACATAACATAGAGTCATAGGTCTTTACAGCACGGAAACAGACCCTTCGCTCCAATTTATTCATGCCAACCAGATATCTTAAATTAATCTAATCCCATTTGCCAGCATTTGGTCCATATCTCTCTAAACCCTTCTTGTTCATATACACATCCAGATGCCTTTTAAATGTTGTAATTGTACCAGCCTCCACCACTTCCTCTGGCAGCTCATTCCATACACGCACCAAAAATTGCCCCTTAGGTCCCGTTTAAATCTTTCCCCTCTCACTTTAAACCTCTAGTTTTGGACTCCCCTACCCTAGGAAAAAGACCTTGACTATTCATCCTATCCATGTCCCTCCTGATTTTATAAACCTCTAAAGAGTCACAGCTTCCCTCAGTTTTTAAGTTTCTCTCAATCAGTCACAACAAATAAATTCTTTATTTTCCTCTTTTACCATGTAGCAGTTATACATCACTTAACCTTTGCAAATTGGATTGTAAATGCACAGCAAATCCATACGGTGAACCTTACATTTTTCTGGCTAAGCAGGAGCTGGGTCAACTTTCTGGAGTGATACTCACCACGATGGAGAGCAAGTTTTCTCGTCTTGTGTTACCAAACCTGCTGCGTTAAGTGGTAGTTTGAATCCTCCCAGTGAGAATCCCATCTGATTTCCACCCCATATTGCCACACGCCATTCCCAGCGCAACTCGCCACCCACCGTAAATCCTGGAATTGACTGCCACCTGTGCCACATTTAGAAAGCTACTGTGCACCCAGCCAAGCACTGTCAGTCTGGAGATGCCTCATACAAATCCTGCTATTTGCCTCCAAGCATCGCACTTTGTGGGTATGGGTCTGCTGGGCTTTAGAAGAATTAGGGGTGACCTTAACGAAATGTACAAGATATTTAGAGGGCTCGATGCAGAAAGGTTGTGGGAAAGTCTAGGACCAGAGAGCACAATCTCAGAATAAGGGGTCATGCATTGAAGATAGTGACAAGGAGGAATTTCTTCTGTCAGACAGTGATAAACCAGTGGAATTCTTTACCACAGAGGGTCAAGGTTGGGTCATTTGGTGTATTCAAAGCTGAGATGGGCAGATTTTTAATCAGTAAAGGAATCAAGGGTTATAGGAATAAGGTAGGGAAGTGGGGTTGAGGATTATCATATCAACCATGATTTCATTAAATGGTGGAGCAGACGAGATGGGCTGAATGGCCTACTTATGATTTTATGGCTAGTGCATAGGCAAGACTTCCTTCTCCCCCTGGGACCAGCGGTGGCAATGACAACAGACCATTCCAGCCTGGTCCAAGGTTTTCCTCCAAGTTACAGCAGTCTCAGCCATCTGTAGGAATGCCCAGCACTGTAGGAAGGTGGTCAACGCTCTACCACTGTCACTGATGTCTGCAATCATCCCCACCACCCCAACTCCTAACCCTAATAATCCTGCAAAGACTGGTATTGGAGGTTGCCTTTCAGTTATTGTAGTGGGAGCCCCAGGGCAAAGGCTATTCCCCTTAGTTAGACTGAGGCCTGCTGTTAACAGTGGTGAGGTTCCTGCCCTTGGCAAGGCAAGATGGTAGCAATATGAACGTGCAATCTCTGGCTGATGAGGAAAAGCACAAAAAGGCAAGGCAGGGGCGCTATGAGCATCCAAGTAGGCTCCGGGTGAAAGCACTTTGACAGTGACCTAAAAGCCCAAACAGGCAGCCAGGTCCAGTCGATGAGCTGGGTACGTGTCTCTGAACTTACCCAATCAGTTCAGGAAAGTTCAAGTACGCGGGAGTTCACCAAAGCAAAGTGAATACACAAATTCTTAACATTGTGCAATTTACCGTTTGTTCTTTCATTACAAAATTGATATTCCACTTTCTACACAAAGGTTAAAGCAACAATATATGCAGTTACCAGCACAAACTATACTGGGCAAGGAAATGCAGAGGTGTGTTTATCAATATAACCAACTTAAAATTGATGTCTGATTTCACTTAAAGCTATGCAATTTTTTTCCCCTCTTCTCCATTATTGTCCATTTGTCTCTCTTTACCTCTTGCCCAATATGGACAAAAGCATCAATTTGTGCCTTTGTCAAATCAAAGTTTGGCTCATCACTCTTAAAGTCCTTCTTCACACTCTATAAACCAATGGCTGGTATCTCAAATGTTTGGCACACAAAGACCAAATCTGACCCCATAACCAAAATGTCAACATCTGTCAAACATCTGGAAAACTTTCCCCTCATCTTTTGCTAATTGCCTTAAGTCTGTGTCCTCTTCTGCCACTAGATGTCCTTTCACCTCAGTCACCTACCCAAACCTTTAATGATTTTGAGCACCTCCAATAAAACACCATTGACCCTCAGCACATTCTGTGCTCTTAAAGGAACAGTCTCAAACTTCATGAATCTTTCCCTGTTACTGAAGTTCCTCATCCCTGATACCATTGTGGTAGATCACCTCAGCAATTTTTCCAAGGCTTTGCAATTCTCCATGGAAACTGGTGATCAGATTCCAGCTGGGGCCAAACTCAAACTCCTTTTAACAATTTGGCAAAACTTCCTTGCCTGGACAAGAATTCTAACTGGCTAATGGCAGTGCAGGCTTGGGTGCAGACAGGTGGGCTAAATTTCCCCAAAACATGGAACAAATCCAAACAATTGCAACTTCACCTGGGCACAAACAGTAACGTGCAGAAACCCCAATGGGGATGTGCGTAATATTTAAATATGTAATGAGGCAAGTCATTCAAAATTCAACTCATATTTTGGCTTTCACAGCCAATGGACATTTTCCTATCATCTATGGAATGCACTGGGGCGTGTAGGATACAAGCCCAATGTAGAAATATAGAAAATAGGAGCAGGAGTAGGCCATTCGGCCCTTCAAGCCTGCTCTGCCATTCAATAGGATCATGGCTGATCAATCCCCTGTTCCTGCTTTCTGCCCATATCCTTCAATCCTTATAATTATATCCAACTCCTTCTTGACAATAGGGGTTGATGGAGTTGTGAAACTGACTTAGAAACTGCACAATTGCTGATCAGTGACAGGCCTTTTCTCCCTCAACCGGTCTGAGAGTGTTCTTTGCCTGCTGTGCAATGGTTTGAAAGTCATTTCTGAGACCCCGGTCATCATGCTGGTGGACTTGCACGCCCCATGCTGGTTAACCTTCACCCCGGCATAGGGGCCATTTTCGGCAGCTCCATCCTGATCCTAATGATTGGGCACAGACAAGTGTCAATGTCAAAGCCAACAGCAACAGCTGCAGGAGCTGCCTTCTTCTCAGCCACTCATCACTTTGCAGGACAGAGGGGATAGATGCAGAGCTGCAGATTAAAGGCGGAGGTGACTGAAGCAAATGGTCTGAGGACAGAAGATCGCTTTCTTTGATGTGCGTCCCAGAAGAGGCTCAGGGGTTTTTCTTCATAGGAGATTGTTGCTGACATCTGAAGCTTTTGGAACCCAGCCTCGTGCCCAATGGACTCGATGGCCTTTCACTGCAGATGGCCGACAAGGGTCAACGTGGCCCTAAATTTTGTTGACTCCCAATGCATCCTGTCATCTGTTGGTGGCATCGACAGAATTTGACAAACTACTATGAACAGGCATACCTCACACCAGCACCCCCCTCCCCTCCCTGGGAGACAGAGATCACGTTGGTCAAGGTCACAAATCACATGTGTTTGGACATGGATGAGTCCCATTGCAACCAAGATTTGGATGCAATGGCTGGATTGCCACAGGTACAGGGCAATGTGGACTGCTGGCTTGTAACAATCCATGGGCTTTGGGGTCAACCAGGAGTATTTCTCAATTCCATTCCATAAATGTTCAGCATGTAATCACCAGGAATGTGTATACAATGTATCCTGGAGGCTGCGATGACTCTGTCATCCTCCACCCTTGGAAATTATAGGGTTCTGGGGGGGAAGATGCAGATGGCTCACCCACTATCCCTGAAGAAACCGGTTGGGAGACCCCATCTCGAAGCTGCAGAACAAGCCCCTAATGGGAACACCACCCAACAATGTGGGGGATGTGCCACTCTCAGAGCTGCCAGCAAACTAGATGGACTAGCAGCACCAACTGTCCCACCAGAGTGAGGACTCCAGGTCCAGAGACTCAGGCAACAGAGATTCCGAAGGCTGTTATGAACTGGGGCTTTGGGCAGGGGTAGGTAGTTCAGTACCTTTCGTGGTGGGGGGTGGTGCATGGCGAAAGGAGTGGGTGGTTTTGTACCATGGTGGTCAGGAAGGAAGAGGATGTGTCCCAATGGGGAAGTGGGATGGTCTAAGATGGTCTCCTTCCTTCCTGCCATTTTAAAGAGGTTGAATAAAAATACATGCTGCCCATTCCTATTCTATTGCCCTCATTACTCCTTTATGGTGCTTTTCACAAACTCAATTGACCCTTAATTATTTATTTGTATTTGGTGAAGCATAGGTGGTTGACAGTGGTGACATCCAGCTATAGCTAACAGTAGTGAGCTGGGGGTGGGTGGGTTGGCCACCAAACTTTCCCACAGCCATGTACATCCCTGGACACTATGGGTAATCTAGCATGGCCAATCCACCTAACCTGCATGTCTTTGGACTGTGGGAGGAAACTGGAGCACCCAGAGGAAACCCACACAGACACGGGGAGAATGTGCAAACTCCACACAGACAGTCACCCAAGGGTGGAATTGAACCCGGGTCCCTGGCACTGTAAGGCAGCAGTGCTAACCACTGAGCCACCATGGAAGAAGGCCAAAAGGAAAGGTCAGTGATAGAGTGGAAGGCAGAAGAAATTAAATGAAAGATGGGATTATGGTGCAGTGTAGGAGGGGATGGTGGTGATTCAAGTACAGAAACAAACGCTGGGTTTAGAAGAGGAGTGAATGGCAAAAGCAGAATCGTGACCAACAGCTGGATAACATGGGAGCCATGGCTGTAATCTGAAAACAGGATAAGGAGGTCAGCGGGCAGGTGAAGCAGATAAATAAAATGAGGCCAGGAGCTCAGGATAATGCTTGTGGGCTGAATGGAGTTCCTGTTCAAAGTGATCACCTAAAGTGCATATGCTGTCCTAATTGTAGAGACCACATCATGGGAAGTGACTACAATATACTAAATTGAAATAAGTCCAAATAACACTTTTATTTGGAAAGAGTCCATTGAGGATGGGACTGGTGATTTGGGAAGGAAGGAGGAAAACATTGTTGATGTATGATCCTAACACTGACTGTCTAATTTAGACATGTGTTGGATTTGTTGGTTTTGACTTACCAAAAATGTGCTCTTTCTATCAGTGATCAGGACTCAATCTTTACTTTCTGTCTAGTACAGGTTAAGGTCAGCAATATTTGGTTCACAGACATTCATGAAAAACTCACTGAGATATCAGGAGATTGGAGCCATAGACCAACAATTCGCTCTGAGTTCACAGACCAACGTGAAACATGAAACTGTCCCCCTCAGATAAAAGTTAAACAATGTCAAATTTATTTACAGGAAGGACTCATAATCTCCAAGGACGTTCAGCACAAATTGTAGCAACTGAGTAATGATAAAAGTTCCAGCAAGCTTCTTATTGTTTGAGATTACTGCAGAAGTTCTCAGTTCATCCTAAAGCTTGGTGCTTAGCAAGTTTTACTACTTGGCCACAGATTACAGTAAGAAAGGAGGTTAACACCCAGAGTACAGAGGTTACAAACCAGGCACACCAGCTGAAAGGCATGTGTGTATGCACTGATTAAGGGCAGACTTGTGATCAGGTGATGCACACTGTGGTTGATAAGCTAATGCACTTTCTGCTTATTGGTCACATAATCATTTGAGTGATGCCTGCTGAATCCCTTCCCAGCTTGACAACAGGAAAAGAGGGGAGAAAAGGAAGGGCAGCATGTCCACTCAATGCTTAGCACTGCTGCCTCTCGGGACCTGGGTTCGATTCCACCGTTGGGTGACTGTCTGTGTGGAGTTTGCACATTGTCCCTGTGTCTGCATGGGTTTCCTCCAGGTGCTCCAGTTTCCTCCCACAGTCCAAAGATGTGCAGGCTAGGTGGATTAGCCATGCTACGTTGCCCCATGGTGTGCAGGCTAGGTGGGTCAGCCATGAGAAATCCAGGGTTATGGAGATGGCAGGGTGTTCTTCAGAGGGTCAGTGCAGACTCAATGGGCCAACTGGCCTCTACCTGCACTGTAGGGACTCTATGAAAAGGAAAAGTCATTTCAGCCCATTGCAAACAGTCAAGTTTGGGCAAAGTCATGGAGATGTGGCAGTACGTACTGAGGGAATTTTGTAACTTTGCAATTACCTGGCAGATGATCCTGTACAGTTTTTTTTAATGTAGCATTCAACTGTTTGATGTTTGTGTCCATTGACACTTCTCTGTTCTGCGTACTGCTAGTCAAGTCTGAGAGTGGTTATGGAGGGAAAGGACAACTAATCGGAAGAAAGAAGCTGCAAGTCCAAGAGCAAACCCTTTAAAAGTACCAGAAATAAAGCTGCTGTTCAGATATAGAAACTGGTGTCATCTCCAAGGCAGAAAGCATTACTCTTTTTTGACTTTTCACCAAAGGGTAAATGATATTTAAACAAAGCTGAACCATTTAGAGGCAACAGAAGGCCACTTTTCTCCTTGAGCTTGCTCTCCCATTTAATTCGGCAATAACTAATCTACATAGGAACTCCAAAAAAAAGGATCTATCAGAATTAGCGTCCAAATCATTAATTCCAAGAGACCACTGCAACCTAAACACCACGTCTAAGATCACTTGGCTGAGCCAGCATGGATTCGATTTTGGTTAGAACACTAGTGGGGGCTGAATAGGATTACTGCTGATCATTGCTGTAAATTACAGAAAAGCTAAATTATGGTCTGGTCTGCTCGACGCCTTGGTAGTCATAGATCAATTGTTCTTACTTGGGGGCTCGCACCCATTCACAGCATTTGCATGAAATCAATGGATCAAACCCTCAGTGGGACTGTTGTACAATACTTGTTTGTTCAGCAGTTGGAAAGCAGAAGTCAGATGGAACGCCATGTGGATGGATCCATCAGGTTCTCTCTTCGAGGCATTGGTGAGTAAGTTGTTTTCAGACAACATTTTCAGATGTCAGCCCACAGATAAGGTTATTTCCCAATTTCATTTCCACCAATCACTGTGGCTCAATTTGATCTGGGTTGCTAGTAATGTCTTGGCAATCGCTACATAAATACAGCATCAGTCTGAAGTCAGTAGAGATGTGGGCTTGGGAGTAATTCAGTGAAAGTAGTGTATGAGGAAAGGAACTAAAGGGCTCACCTTTGTCCCCCTCCACCCACAGATCAACGAATACCGCTCACGCTTGGACATAGAGCAGTTTTTCCGCCGCCTCCGCCTCCACGCTTACTTCTTCAACCGTGAACCTAACCCTCCCTCTACTGACCCCTTCTCCCGCTTCCAACACACCCCCTCCTCCTGGACACCACCCCAAGGCCTCCTACCCTCCCTCGACCTCTTCATCTCCAACTGCCGTCGAGACATCAATCGCCTCAACCTCTCCACCCCTCTCACCCACTCCAACCTCTCCCCTGCAGAACGTGCAGCCCTCCGCTCCAATCCCAACCTCACCATAAAACCCGCGGACAAGGGAGGCGCAGTTGTAGTATGGCGCACTGACCTCTACATCGCCGAGGCCAGACGCCAACTCTCCGACACCTCCTCCTACCGCCCCCTTGATCATGACCCCACCCCCTTGATCATGACCCCACCCCCGAGCACCAAACCATCATCTCCCAAACCATCCACAACCTCATCACCTCAGGTGACCTCCTCCAACCTCATCGTTCCCCAACCTCGCACTGCCCGCTTCTATCTCCTTCCCAAAATCCACAAACCTGAATGCCCTGGTCGACCCATTGTCTCCGCCTGCTCTTGCCCCACCGAACTGATCTCCAACTATCTGGACTCCATTTTCTCCCCCTTGGTCCAGGAACTCCCTACCTATGTCCGTGACACCACCCACGCCCTCCACCTCCTCCAGAACTTCCAATTCCCCGGTCCCCAACACCTTATCTTTACCATGGACGTCCAGTCCCTCCACACCTGCATTCCCCATGCAGATGGCCTTAAGGCCCTCCGCTTCTTCCTGTCCCGCAGGCCCGACCAGTCCCCCTCCACTGACACCCTCATCCGCTTAGCCGAACTCGTCCTCACCCTCAACAACTTCTCTTTCAATTCCTCCCACTTCCTACAGACAAAGGGGGTGGCCATGGGTACCCGCATGGGCCCAAGCTATGCCTGCCTCTTTGTAGGTTACGTGGAACAATCCCTCTTCCGTACCTACACTGGCCCTAAACCCCACCTCTTCCTCCATTACATTGATGACTGTATCGGCGCCGCCTCGTGCTCCCACGAGGAGCTCAAACAGTTCATCCACTTCACTAACACCTTCCACCCCAACCTTAAGTTTACCTGGACCATCTCTAACACCTCTCTCCCCTTCTTGGACCTCTCGGTCTCCATATCGGGCAACCACCTAGAAACCAATATTCATTTCAAGCCCACCAACTCCCACAGCTACCTAGAATACTCCTCCTCCCACCCACCTTCCTGCAAAAATGCTATCCCCTATTCCCAATTCCTTCGCCTCCGCCGCATCTGCTCCCAGGATGAGACATTCCACTCCCGTACATCTCAGTTGTCCTCGTTTTTCAAGGACCATAACTTCCCCCCCGCAGCGGTCGAGAACACCCTCAACCGTGTCTCCCACATCTCCCGCAACTCATCCCTCTCACCCCGTCCACGCAATAAGAACCAAAAAAGAATCCCCCTCGTCCTCACGTACCACCCCACCAACCTTCGGATCCAACACATCATCCTCCGACACTTCCGCCATCTGCAATCCGACCCCACCACCAAAGACATCTTTCCCTCTCCACCCTTATCTGCTTTCCGGAGGGACCACTCTCTCCGTGACTCCCTTGTCCGCTCCACACTCCCCTCCAGCTCCACCACACCCGGCACTTTTCCCTGCAACCGCAGGAAGTGCTACACCTGCCCCCATACCTCCTCCCTCACCCCCATCCCAGGCCCCAGGAAGACTTTCCACATCAAGCAGATGTTCACCTGCACATCTGCCAATATGGTATACTGCATCCGCTGTAGCCGGTGTGGCTTCCTCTACATCGGGGAAACCAAGCGGAGACTCGGGGACCGCTTTGCAGAACACCTAGGCTCAGTTCGCAATAAACAACTGCACCTCCCAGTCGCGAACCATTTCAACTCCCCCTCCCATTCCTCAGATGACAT